GAGAAATATTTCGATTTTCGTCATGCCTCACAATATTTGCTGCGTTAATATTTGACGAACATTCCAGCCAATTTTCATGAAAATCCAACAAATCTACATACCTATGTTAATTCGTTTAAGTAGAGGTATTTCTCATTACTTTTCTCAAACTGCAAAAATATGGGTTCCGCAGGTTCCGCAGGTTATGCGGTCTGCTGATCGACTGTTTAATAACACCCAGTTTCAATCAATTTTTCGTGACCGATGTTAGCAATTATTGTGAATAACGAAAAATTGAACTTTTAATCTAAGTTTATGTATCAAGAGAAATTTAGGTGGCAATTTTTTGGATTTTTGACAATTTTTCTACAACTTTTTGACATTTCAGTGAGAAGCTTAATTTCCGTTATTTTACGAAAATCAGGAGAACCCTTGCGCTCTTCGCCACAGGTTCCTCTTTCAGCCGTATCTCGCGTTCGTTTCAAAATGTTGTGATTTTCTTTCGATAAATTAAAGTTAACTGCTTTCTTTGACTACAGAGTAAAAAAATAAAAATTTGAACTTTGACCAAATTTTGTTGAAAGTGATCTAAATAAGTTAACATACAAGACAAAAGAAATTATTCTAAATCTTTTTACCTCCATCCTGTCTTCTTGTAAGGGCTAAATATACCGTCAATAATAGCAGCCGTTAATTCCGCTCCCGTCAGAAATAGATAGTGGACGGAGACTAAACGACCCCTTATACTCCATGGCGCAATTTCAGCAATATAAACTGGAACAGTAATAGACACCCCTCCTACAAACAATTAAAATAAAAAAAAAAAAAAGGTCTTGTCATCTATCTCACCGAATATCATTACAAGCAAAGATAAACACAATTTAGTTTTTATTTAAAATTCTTCTTAGTTTTTGAGAGGGAGTTTTTTACCAAAACTAGTGTATTTCAACTCATTCGAAATAGGATATTAGGCTGCATAAACCTTTAACCCCTAGAACGGAAGGGACGCATACCTATAATTTCCATTTTCAGTGTCGATAATTATTTCAAAATATGAACGTGTAAAATCCTAAGATATTACTACCATCTTGCTGTCGTTTCCGGCGTTCTCTACCGTTTTTAGCTTGCTTAAAACGGCAGAAAACGCCGGAAACAACAAAGGACACACAAGATGTGAGTAAGTTTTATTATATAATGTATAATGTTATTGTTTCGAAATATTTACAGTCGTAAATCGACCATAGGGACCTTCAGCAATCAGGACGGCAACACCAAGGAAGACTTCGATTAAAATATAAATTTCTACCTTTAATTAGAATTTCAGAAATTGGCCTTGTGTTTACCGTCTCATACAGCGCCACACCTCAACTTCAGCAGAACGTATAAAAGAAGCGTTGAGTTCCAAATGGAAATTAAAATCATTTGCCGTCGCGGTTTCGGTTCGCAGACGACGCAAATTTTGCTGATTTCACGTTGTTGTTTTGCATAGGATGGCTAAGAAATGTACACAGTTTTAAAACGCACGTGCTGAGCAATTGAGCTCGTTGCCGTTGCCGTCGTAGTTTGCTTAAGCTCCCTATTATTCCTTATAACGTGTTCAAATTCTCAGCGATTCCTCTCGAAACTTACCCCTGGTCGAGCAACCCTTGGCACTTTTTAGGAATTTTAATTCATGAAAAGATTGTCCGCTTTCTCTCGAGACGTGCCCTTGAGACGCCCGCGCTCTAAGGAGCCTTTCATTAATGTGCTTACCGCCGTTCCTGAGCTTGTGAGAACTTTTGATTCCGAGATTTACGGCGATATCTATGCAAATATTGCATAGCGATTTACAAATTACAGATATTACGCAAAACCTACTTTTTTCTTATTTACCTATTCCGAAACCCACAATGAGCCGACCAATGAGTAGAACATTTCTCGATGTAGCAATTGCCTCCACCACGGCTCCTACCGTTAGCACCATCGCACAAGCTAAAAGCATGGGTTTTCGCCCACATCGTTGATTCACAAAACCTCCCAGAAGTGCTCCCACTATGGCTGTACCAATTGCTACGCTCACGATGAGCTCTTGCCAAAATGTCGACAAATGAAACTCTTGTTTTACGAGGATCATTGCTCCAGAAACGACCGAGAAGTTGTATCCTATCTCAAAGCTTCCAATGGCAGCGAAGAAAGTGAAAATATACACACACACTGGAATTCTTCGTTTCGCTTCACTGGAACTTTCCATTAACGGCTCCTGCTCGGTACTGTTACCAAGTATGTGATTTCTTTTTAGTTGTTCCATATCCATGAAACTCTAAGTTTGGTCGACTTCTTTCACAAAAGCGTGATCGCTTTAAATAATCACATGTGATAAGGTCTTAGTCAAACGAGTGTTTAACCATTTCCGCGTGGAGAAAGTCCCATCGGATTTCGAAAGCGATTATTCTTGTATGCGGCAAACATGCGGAACATTAGGCACTGCACGACATATATGGATACTTATTATCCTCTTTAAAATTGCCTCAGGCTTGACCACCAGCTTGCTTGCGAAGTTGAGCAGAGCCGCAGTTCAAAGATTAAGGACTTCACAGACTCGTATAGTCTAGTATTATATGCGCGTGTTAATTTACAGGTAGTCTAAAAACGCGTTTAGACGAAGTGTACTTGTCATTGATATTCATTGGCATATCTTTCTTTTCTGTTCCATTCGTGTTCCACAACAAAAGAGATGGTAACGTAAATGCGCCGGTCCGTGAGCATGAAGTTCACTAAACAATTATGAAAACGTCAATGAAAACTATCGCATGCAAATTGTCGAACAATTGCTGGGTGTCACGAAAGCTAAGACCTCTCGAAAACTAAGACCCCTCGAAAAACTTTTAGCTACGGAATATTTCAAAAGAAAGGAGAAGCCAAGCTGATCTTTACAACCTGGAGGAGCTACAACTTGGAGATCGTGAATTTCACTTGAGGTGTTTACATGCAGGTTACTGAACTGCAAAATTAAACGTTGAATCTAGATAAGCAAATATGCAAATCGCCGTAAATCACGGAATCAAAAGGGGTGTCATGTAAGCTAAGAACTAAGACCTAAGACCCCTCGAAAACTAATTTTTTTTTTTTTTTCTTCAAGACCCCTCGAAAACTAAGTTTTTTTCGAGGGGTCTTAGTTTTCGATGGGTCTTGCGTCTTAGGTCTTAGCCTTCGTGACACCCAACAATTACTGGGGCGGCAAATTAAGCCAAAATTTCCACCCACGCTGGGATTCTTTGTTTCACTTCATTGG